TGATTGCAGGGTCAGTAAATAAGTCGGTTGGGCTTCGGAAAAAAAAACGCACCGGCTATCGGATTGGGGTGGGGCCCACGAACCTGACAGAGGGATAGGTAGCCAGTATGGGTGGTCGGGTGTTACAAGTGGTATCAGAGCCTGGAAAGTCAAACTGGTTCCGTCCCAGGAGACTGTCTTAAGGTTTGGGAGTTAAGGCTCACACTGTCAGGATCAGAATTTGGGGATGAATTCCCGTTTAGTGGGGGAGAATTGTAACGACCCGGGTTCAGTCCATTTGAATAAATTCAAATGGATTGATTTGGCTACCTATGTCACCAAAGTGCACTTATCTTTTCGGTTAGTGGGCCTGAGAGAACTCCAGAGTTGAGCATGCTTGAGCTAGAGCAGGAGTAGAATCAGTGACCTTTCGGAAAGTGATTTCTGAAACCGTGTGAGTGAGGCCAAAACACGGAAAAATATCATATGGTGATTGCAGATCAGTAAATAAGTCAGTTGGGCTCCCGAAAAAATAATGCACCGGCTGTCGAACAGGGGCGGGGCCCATGAGCCTGACGAAGGGATAGGTGACTCGCCGGTATCGATATCGAGCAAGTCAGCACAATGTCAAGCATCCGAGGGAGAAATGTCGTGCACTCACATCGGCCTTCTAGCTCGACATCCACCTTATCTGAACTGCTTTTATTTACAAGTTTTCCATTCTATTAGGGTTTTTGTCATTTAGTATAAATAGCCTTTAACCTAAGGATAATACCAAGTCTTGTTCTGGTTTTTAATTTCTCTTGATTGCTTTACTTTGTAAGAACAAGATTCATCTTTTAATTTAAGTATTTGTGTTTTCTGTTTAAATCTTCCTTAATCTCTCTTCTTTATGTTTAACATCTTTTAAAAAATGGATTTGCTGGTTTACATAATGATTAGTGAGTAGTTCCATTTAGGAGCTTAGATGTTGTAGATTAGGGGAATTTGGGGCTTGATTAGTGTTTGCTAGTGCTTAATATCCATTGATTCCTCTCTATTAGACTGTTTTTAGGCTAGATTTGTCTTGATCACATGAATCTAGATTTAGACTTTCTCTTATGCCCACCAAGTGTTTGATGAAATGATGATCTTGTTGTTTAGGGGATTTACTTGTCCTACCTCAAGGGATTGATTGTCTAAGAAGTATTTTGGCTTGAATATAATTAGTTTATGCTTGCTTGCTATTGATTATAGCACTAACGGAAATTAGTTCTTGTTAGAATGTTTAGCAAAGTGTTATTGACCAAGAGATTGAGTTTAGCTTGCTTGATTGTAAATTCTATGCCTAGGAATTAGCATTACTTGCTTATTTACATTGTTAATGAGTTTGATAACAGCCTAGTCTTGTCTTTGAGTTCTCCAAACTCCATAACCACATCTAGGATCCTTGCTTTTATTATTGAATTTTGAACTTGAATTACTCTGTTTTAGCTGTTTTGTTTTTGTGTTTAATCATTGCTTAAGTATTGCTTTCATTAGTCTTGCTTATTCTTTGGTTCACTTAATCTATTAGGTTGCTAGTTTAAAACAATATCTTCTATGCTATAGCTTGACTTATTTCTATTGCATTCCTAATGGTATTTATCTTAGATATTTGGATTTGACAAAACTTTTACTATACTACAATGACTAGTACAAGTTTGAGTAATTGAGAAAATACCTAAAAATATTTGTATCAGTGATTATATATTATTTATGCAACTTTTTGTGAATATGTGAAAATGCATGATTTAGTAAATGTTTGATCTCAAACAATAAAGTGAAGTTCAGTTATTAAAAAACAAACCACAATGTTTATATCAGCCTTGTTCTTTTTTGTTATCGCTGACGCAGCTATCTGCGACTAAAAATTATAAAGAGAAACAAATAATTATATGGCCGCATCCTCCATTAGTTTTTGTCGCTGGTTTTAAAAAAAGGAATAAAGAGGTGGATGGCAAAATTTGGGGATTTTATTAGGAAAACAAGAGACTAATGTGCTAGAAAGAATTGGCTAAAGGATGCCTAAACAAAAAAAAATATTTTGTATAATTACATTAATTGCCATTTATATGCGCGTAGGATTTGTTTTAAATGGAAAAGATGTGTTATGGACACATAAATGTAATACTAAATAAATGCAATCAGAAAACATTTTAACTTTATTTTGATTGATAATAAACCTAAATATCTGAATATAACATTAATTCTATAGTGTAATTTTAATATAACATAATATATTATTATTAAAGGTGATTCCCCGAACACTATATATATCCAAACATATGGTGTTAGTTACAAATTAAAATACTTATATATAGATTTATATTAATATGATATAAAAACTAAGTTAAGATGTTAAAAAACATATAACTTGACATTTAAAAAGAATATATATGTATTTATTATTCTAGACCTATATATAAACTTATAGATATAACTTATCTAATAAAAGAAATAAAATAACATGTCAAAAAATATATAACTTTACATTTAACAATATAGATATATATTTATTATTTTAGACCTTTATATAAAGTTATAGATATAGCTTACATGAAGAAAGAAATAAGTTAACATGTAAAAAAATATATAACTATGTATTTTATTATATATAGATGTATTTATTATTATGTATGAAAACATGCGTTATTTATTATTTTAGACATGTATATTTATAAATAGTGTGTACTTGCATAAACAATTAAAAGAGACATCGAGATTACCGAAGATGAATTCGAGTTTTCCAAAATGTTTAGACATCAAATCAAAAAATTTGTCGATAAAAGATCGGGTTAGGCAAGATTCTTCACCTCTAACCATTTTTCTTTTGGAATCTCACAAGATCTGCTAAATTGTTAAGATCTAGAGAAGAAAGTTTAGAGATTTGGAGAGTAAAGTCAAGAGAGAGAATACATATATATATATATATGTCAAGAGAGAGAATACATATATATATATATATCAAAAAATTGTTGGTAGGGAGAATCAAGAAATTATTGGTAGGGAGAATCCAAAAATTGTTGGCAGCAAAGGATGAAAGCATGTCGGAGGAAGGAGGAAAATGAAAATGGTGTTTCAAAAGTGAATTGGGAAAGACATTAATTAAGAAGAAGACGACATATATGTGTCCAGTTATTTAATTATTAACTTTTGATAGATACCACTTAGATATCTATAAATAATTTTGGATAAATGAAAATGTTCAAAGAGCGTGAGAAATATGGGGGTATAATAGTCTAAATTTATGGTTAATTAATTTCATATTTAAACTCATAAATAGGTCTTGTTGTTTTTTCATTTGACTACCAGTCTTTAGCCATTTAGTGGTATTACTCTTAAAAAAAACAGCCGCACTCCAGTTTTTTTTCAGCGTCACAAATTTTATAAACCTTTGGTCGCTGAGCTCTTGGCGTCTATTCCTTGCGGTAGTGAGAAGAAGAGTTCAGTCACCACGGAGTGTATTATTTCAACCGCTCAACGCTGCCGCAGCGTCAACATAAAAAACAGGGCTATTGTTTTTATCGTCGTCTCTTACATCACCATCAAGAATTTTTATCTACATCTTACAAATGATTAATCGATCAAAACAAACTACGTGCAGCACATACGATTATGAAGAACAATTCTATGAACAACGATTCCACGACGTAGTTTTACTTGCAACACACAAATTCACGACGAATCCACGACGTAGTTCTATCTACACAACATCGATGCCTGCACCTGCAACAATTTTGAACATTCGATAAGTTTTTAATTATTACTAGGCAGAAATTTCATGGCATCGAATCCCATACTTCATATAAAATCTTTGATTATTGGGCAAAGTAACTTTTATTGACATTGTATGATAATAAGTGACTAGATAATAACCAGCACCATGTGTTTGGTGAAATAATTACTGTTTATTTAAATTAATATAATTTTAAAATTATATAAAATAATTCAATAAATTTTATATAAATTTTAATATTTTGTTATAAAATTGATGTTATAGAATTTAAAAAAAAAAATAAATATGGAATAATTTATTTATTATATAAATTAATTTAAATATCAAATATTATGCACATGATATATGATATGACTTTTGTAGAAATACCAAATCACTATATATATTTTCTATATTTGGTGATTGACGATATAATTAAACATTTTTAATAATATGAAAGTTGGATATATAATATTTATTTATTTATTTATTTACTTTTCATTTCTAGACAACTACAGTCCAATGAACAAGCAAAAAGAAAAAGATTTTGGCCCTTTAATATATAAATTTTTAAAACATCAGGCCCCTTAAAAATAAAATCTTGAAATTTTTGAATCATATTTAATAATATTTACAGTAAAAATAGTAATTTAAATATTAAATATCACCAATTAGATTTATTTGTTTTGAAAATAGGCCCTTTTTACACTATATTTTTTAAAAGAATAATTGGGTTTTGGACGAGCACAATACTATCCACCCTACTTGAACTGGATCTGTTTTTACATAATAATTAAATATTATTAGTTAAATTATTATTTATTTACTATATCGAAAGAATTAAAATAAGAGTGTAAAACACAATTTTTATTCTTAATTTTTAAAGTAATTACTATAAGTATAATTTAATGTAAATAATTTTCTTTGTGAAAAAAAAAAACAAATTATTGCCTACAAAAATTAATCAAAAAGTAGTTTAAAATAAATTTGCATATGAAAATATAAATCAATCTTCAAAACCATTTGAATGTTATCAATGGGTGGCAGTAAACGTGGAGGGTGTGGCTTCATGAATATAAGTTGTAAACTGAGACGGTGAGACCTATCTCCACAGAACGAATTTAAAGTTTTCAACTACTTTTATGTTAGTTAATGATATTTTTTTTCCTTTGCTGAGGTGGCAGTATGGGAAATGTGGAGTGTGATTTCACCGGAAAATATTGCTTGGTTGGCTATATATATATATATATATAATTATATATATATATATATATGTTGTAGTTGAAACCAGTTTTCACAAACCGAATTAAACGATTTTTCAACTACTATTAACCAGATTTCAGCATCGTCTCTTGGAAAAGTAGAATGTTTCAAGCTACCGGCATGGCGGTTCCTACTACACATGTGGTGTTTCCGTGTTCGTGGAGGCGTATATTACCACCTAGAAGCACAAAAACCTTCAAGCCTCTCGCATGTCTCAGTCTTGAAGGAGTCAAAAGGTACACCATACACATACATCTTTCTGATTTCACTTTTGTTTCTAATGTTTCTGATCCATAATCTTATTATAATTTCTTTATAGCAGAATGAGTGGGTTCCATGAGATTGAACTTAAAGTTCGCGACTATGAACTGGATCAGTTTGGTGTGGTGAACAATGCTGTTTACGCAAATTACTGCCAACATGGTTAGTTTATTTTGGTTGTGAATGTTGTTGCTTCAGATTAATATAAACCAAGTTTAGATATTCTGTTTGTTGACATTTTTTTCATACCAAGGTCAACACGAGTTTTTGGAGAGTATTGGTATCAACTGTAACGAAATATCCATTTCTGGTGAAGCCATGGCAATTTCTGAGTTGGCATTAAAGTTCATTGCACCTTTACGTGTAATTTTGAGCCTCTGGTCCCATTTTCTGGTTATTATTATTTTTTGTTGTTAATAAAAGAACACAATTTATAATGTTAATTTTGTATATTTATTTGATTCATTGAGAAGAGTGGAAGCAAATTTGTGATAAAATCAAGGATATCGGGGACATCCATGACGCGCATTTACTTTGAACAGTTCATCTTTAAACTTCCAAATCACGAGGTTAATTAATTTGCTCTCATCAAACGTGTGTGATTTTTTACTTGTGTTCTGATTCGGTTCCTTTTTTTTTTTCATAACGAATCAGCCGATTGTGGAGGCAAAAGGAAAGGCTGTGTGGCTTGACAACAAATATCGTCCTGCTCGTATCCCATCTCATATACGCTCTAATTTCGTTCTCTTCCAACGCCAAAAGGTTGCTATCTGATTCTATCCCGCATTGTTAATGATTTATAACATAAGAAAGCGTAGATTTTTTAATATACATAAAATAAAACTCTCCAATATTTTATTTAACATTGTTTATTACATATTGTGAAACATGTCGTTTTTTCCATTTCTTATTAATTGAGAAGCAGTTTATATTGAAATACTTATGTATTTTTTTTGTTGGCTTTTACCATAAAAAGATAATGACATGACTGTGAAAATTCATGTTCCATCCATAAATGAACTAGGGTTTTATGGGTTTAAAGAGAGATCTTTTTATTAGAATGAGCCAGAGCTTGATAGAATACACCGTGATTTAGGTCGTCGGAATAAGAATGCCGATCTAAACTCTAGGGAAAGTAAATCGAGAGCTAAAACAATAAAATTGCTTAGTTTGCCTTAGGTCTCGAGAGAGGATTTTCGGATGATCTCAGAAGTCAATGGACTTCCTATATTTATAGTTGATCAGGTCGGTCTTCAATGTATATCTAGAATATGAAAGTCTTCTTGCCGATAAGACCGAACTTCCTTTTTTCTCGGGTTCTCTAAATAAAAGGAAGATTTCCATTTATTTAGCCGACCTGAAACTTATAATATGGGCCGACCAGAATTCATATCGGGCTTGTAGAGATGGTACGAATCTCATCTCTAACAGTTAGTCTCCCCCCCCCCCCCCAGTTCGGCAAGTGAGGGTGCGTTACTTGGCGAATTTCGAGAAGTGTTGCTCGATGTGGATTCTGGTCGGCTGCTTAAAAGAGTTAGAATATATAAAATGTAGTTGGAAGAAAACAATCTTACTTGGAGCTTAGATCGGCACATCGGTGCGAGTCAGGTAGCGGATTTGGGTGCGAAAACTTCCCGCCAAAAGATTTGTAGGGTAGGCCTAGGTCTGCGCATGCAGAACTAGGGTTGACACGTGTCAAATGCTAGAAGGAAAGAGCGAAAAGGCCGATTAAAATAAAATGAGAAAAATATGAAGAGTCGCCAAACTCATGATGACTCTTGGTAACCGTCCAGACTCTTGTATAAATAAGAGGGACTCGGTTTTCATTTCTTCACTTCTGCACTATTAGCGAAACTCTGTCAAATTTCAGGTTTGCTCTCTTCTCTCTCCTCTCTACTCTTTATTTTATTTTTTTGAATTTGCCGATTAGACCTCCGCCCTACTTCGTTCGACAGTCGCCGTCAATCTCCATGAATCGCTGTTTGAGTGCGATTAGAAAATGAGCAGAAGCGTGAAGATCAGAGAAGACCGGCCAGAATCGAGAGAAGGCAAATCGGCCCAAGTGAGGGCTAACGAGATCGGCGTGTCTCTGGAAGAATTTCGTCAGATGCAAAGAGACGACCAGACTGCAAAGAGCCGATCTAAAGGAAAGAAGGTCGTCTTCAAACCATCTGAGTCAGATCGGTCTTTGGATGCATGCGAACTCTCCGCGCTGGAGCGAGAATTCCAGGAACGCGTTAGGGTTAAGAATCAGCAGGCAGCGGCCGACAGATTTCACGCCGATCAGGTCGGGTTTGTTGGTAGGTCTGGAGAGACATCTTCCAGACTGGAGTTTGAGGTCCCTGAGTTACGGGACGAGGCCGACACGAGGGACAGATCTAACGAGATGGATATCTTGGATGAGCTGAATGCCATCATCGCGGAGGAAGAAGTCAACCAGTTTGGCATAATTGACATGAACCCCCCAGTGAAAAAGTTCAAGAAGCGAAAGGGGGAGAAGGTAGTTAAGCCGACCTGCGATAACGCCTTGGGGGTGATGCCGACCAAGTCAACCATGGAGTCCTTAGTGACTCTGAAGGAGGAGTGCAACATCGGCCCCGAGGTGATTTTATTGGTCTCGAGTCCTTCAGAAAGGCCATGGGATGCTCCCGAAGGATGGCTGTGTTTATACGAGTGCTTCTTCTGGGATTTCCACATATGGTTCCCCCTCCCAAGGCTGTTGTTGGAATTCGCTGATCGAAAGGATATGTCGATCAGCCAATTCACTCATGCGACGATCCGCTTGATCGTCAGTATGTTGGTTATGTCGATCAAGCATGATATCCCACTGACCTGGGCTGCCTTCGATGCAATGACGAATACCAGACGAACCAATGCAAAGTTGAGGAATCGCGGTTTTTACTACACGAGCATGAAGACGAAGTTCAATATCGCCACTGGTGGTCATAAGACGAAGATTGACGATTGGAGGGATCGGTACTTCTTCGTGCTGATAAATGAGTTTTCCATCGTAGATTGAGATGTCCCGATCCGGATGAAATGGGCGGAGATCATGGGTAGAGAGCTGCTCGACCTGAAATATACTAGATGGAAATAGTTCAACTTATCTTTTGATTGCTGACTAACTTATTTTGTTTCTGCAGGAAATAGGCATCTTCCTATTGTCGTCGATCCCGTGGATATCTACGATATTGCCGAGCAATTCTCAACGATCAGTGCCATTACGTGGCCCGAGATAACGAAGAGAAGATCGCACGAACAAGAGGTTGGTGTGATTTGAATTATCTTTCAACCAAGGATGCAGTTTGTCAGTGTCTGGTCGGCTAACTTTTTGAATATTTTTCCAGCCGCCCTTCATCGTCGACAAAACCGACCAGAAAAAATAAAGTCGCTGTCATTCAAGGATCTTTCAGCCAATCTAGAATCAGCCTTCGGGTCGCCCCAGGCTCTACCCACCGAGAATTCTACTCCATCTGGGTCGTTAGACGACTCGGACAAAGCCAGAAGGGCAGCCGAAAAGAAGGCTGAGAGAGATGCCGCAAAGGCTAAGAAGGCAGCTGATAGGAAGGATGCGAAGAAAGCAGAATGATCTCGGAAGAGAAAAGAGCTGGAGGAACATGAAGGAGGGGATACTCAGGATGAGGAACCCGCGGTGAACGAGGCAAGTGGAGGAGGTGATCCCATTAATTCGAACAAGAGGGGATCGGAGGAGATAGCCGAAGAATCACAAAGGTCGAAGAGGCCGCATGTTGAGCAAGCACTTCACCCGTTTGGATTTTCTTACGATTACTGTGGGAACGGTCCATTGGTGAGCGATCTCGTATCTTGCCTGGATTTCTTCCTCCGGTTAAGGGATCACCCAGCTCTTCCACCAACCGATCCCCGAAGCTTAATTCGAAGCTAGGATATTGCGCGTTTTGCGGTCGATCAGGCTAAGGTAGGATAAAAAAAACTTTCTCGCCACGTGACTTTTAATCACGTTTCAATTATATAAGTACCGGATTGGTCCTTACGATTTTTTTTCTATGAAGGTTCTAAGTACCGCACTGACTGTGATGTGCGAGTACAATCGCGACGCCAAAAGGTGTCAGGCCGACCAGGCCGAGAAGGAAGCCCTCAAAGAAGCCCTCGAAGCTGAGAAGCTAAGGAGTGCCGAGCTCGAGGCTAAACTCTGGGAATCTTCGGAAAGTCTGGCACACGCGCAAGCCAGCATTGCTGAAAAGAACAGGCTTCTCGGTCGAGCAGTAAAGCAGATAACAAAGGAGAGGGCCGCCGCTGAAAGCAGACTCAGGCCGAGAAGAAATTGGCCGAGCAGGATAAAATTTCTTTCGGTCAAGAAGTGGCAAAACGTGCGACCAGTGCGGTGAATAACCATTATGCTGCTCTGGTCGCGAAGGTGAAAGAATCCCTCTCCCGGAAGGAGAAAGCTCAAGAGTTGATATCGACCGCGGCCCAATGGGTTGGCGCTAAACGAGCACTCAGCATCGTTCACAAACACGGCTACAATTTTTCGGCTCTGGTGGACGAGAATGTCGAAAAGCTGATTGCCGAAAGCAAGGCAAATCTGGAGGCCTTCGAATAAGTCAGCTTCACGCCGGATGAGCTTCAAGTCCAAGAGGCGGAAGTCTTTCTCGAAGGCTCTACTGATGTTCCGTCTGATGCGGCAAAGACTTTAGAGGGAGCCGGCCAGGAAAAAGAGCCAGAGGCCAACAAGGGCGATGGCCAAGACACCGATAAAGATGGCGAAGATGCCGGCCAGCCAGACGATCGAGAGGCCGATCAAGAAGGGGAAATCCAAAAGGAAGCCAAGGGCGATGAATAGATTTTCCTACTTCATAAATATTATTTTTTTGCTATGTACTTGTAATTTGTCGTTCTGATGTATTGTCCGCCGTTCTCGGTGTTTTATCAATGAAACAAGTTTTATTTAAGAATCTGAACATAAATCGCGATGCGATATCGGCTTATATTTATGCGATTTGAATTTTTAAGTACTAAGTGAATAAGCGAATGAGGTCGACATGTATTCAATACTTAGAAATTTCTTCAAGTCAAATGCGAGATGCAACCTGGTCGGCTTAATTATTTCGCATGACTTAAAGAGTGCATAGCGGGTTCTGGCTTAAGTTTGAAGTGTGAATACGAACGTGCGGGAAGCCCGGCTTATGATTGTCCGTACCACTTCTCTTCTAAGTGTGAATACTCGATGTGCGATTCAGGTCGGCGTCTATTCATCGGTATCACTTAGAAGTATCCGAGTCGAATGCGGATGCAAGACTGACTTGGCTGCCAACAACGCATGGCTCGGATATATTGAAACAGGTAAAACTGTAAAGATGCAAGATGGACTTGGCTTTGAGTTGCCAAGCTAAAGTGGATCAGACTTTAGCTTTAGGCGAATCAGGCATCTAGCCAGGATGCCGATATGAAATTGACAGGGACGAATTTTTAATAAAAATTCTTTTATTGAATCGAAGTAAAGACTTACAAAGCGAAGAAGACTTGGAAAGATGAAAAATATCAGATACTTATAGCCTAAGTGAGATGACGAGTGGATCGTTATGTAGGCGGTTGATATTCTGTGCGTTTTGCTCCGTAAACGTGATTGGGAGATCGTCCGTGTAAAGCGGTGGGGCGTCCTTCGGGGGGTTGGCTGCCTTTCGCTCGTGCCGTTTGATCGAATTGATCGAGTCGGTGCACGAGAGGAGCCTTCCCATAATCATGTTTATACGTCGCCGGGGCGAAGTCGGGGGTGTGTGATCGTCTTCACGGTCACGTTTCGCTTTCTTGCCTTTGCGTTTAGAAGATAGGCGATCAGCATCGGCTCTTCTATCTCGGTCACTATCAGGTCGCCTGTCCTAATCATCATCAGGTCGTCGTGCTGCACTTCGGGGCTTAGGTATGGTGCACTCACCATCTTTCCACGCCTTCTGCAAGAGGTCTGAGAGGGTATGGCAGTCATCGGTATGATGGCCGTGCGCTTTGTGGTATTTGCACCACATCTTCTTACTGTTTCGGTCTTTTTCGCTCAAACGGTCCCAAGTGTTCCACCTCTTTTGTCGTCCGACGGCGTTGATACTCTTACGGATCTTGTCATCCTTGTTGTAGTACTGACGAGGCTCTTTGTAGTCGTTTTGATTCGACGATATGGGTTTCTTGTCGCGGGAAGATTTTTCATCGGCCAACTTGGCCTTGACCTTAGCCGCTCGATCTTCTTCAACCCTGATATAGCCGGTTGCCTTATGCAAAGCATCTTCTAGGGTTTTGGTCTTTCTTGTTTTCAATCGCTCGCAGTATGTCAAGTTCCTGATGAGGATGTTGAGGGAGAGCTCGTCCGATAAACTGCATCAGGAAACGATCGATCAGAACCGATCGATGAAGTCGTGCAACGGCTCCGTGTCGCCCTGGACGCATGCCCATAGATCGAGCGCCATGGACTCCGTGTCGATGTAGATCGAATAATGCTTAAGGAACCGAACTGTGAGCTCCTTGTAGCTATCGATGGAATTTTTGGGAAGCTGGAAGAACCAGGTGAGGGCGCTTCCGGAGAGCATCTCCATAAAGCACTGATAGAGGCATGCTTCTCGCTCCTCGTCGGTGAAGCGAGCTCGCCCCATGACTGTGTTAAACACAGTCAGGTGTCCCTTCGGGTATGTCGTGACAGTGTAACTTGAAGGTAGCTTCATCCGGTGTATGTCCTTGAGAGGAGCCTTGGTGATGGTCGACGTGAACGAGGTCTGCTGTGTTTGCTGGAGGATCTTGTCCAACTCCTGTGCTGAGGTCGTTGCATTGTGGATCTTGCTGTTTATATCGTCAAAGCGTTGATGGAGGAGGTCGAGCTCTGAGATCGTCGTCCGGTCGGTACCTGTGGTGTTATGAGATCGTGCGTCACCTGTGCTCTTCGCAGGTTGTCTGTCGGTGTGGTGCCGAACAGGTTATTGACCAGTCTGGTCGTATCTGTGTTGCGGATCGGCGGGCGTGGGGGCGTGATTAGATCGGCCGGCTCTTGAGTATGAGCCCTAGAGTTGAAAAGCCGATCTAGGTCTTCTCGGTAGGCAATCTTTTTGGTGCAGAGGGATTCGAAGCGAGCATCCATTCCCTGTTGTAGCTGTGCTGCGACCGATCTGATGATGGTGGCTATGTCGATGGGAGGCGGTCGTGGCAGGTCGGTCTGGTTTGTTCCACCGGTTTGGCCGACCTGATCTGTCGCACTTGTGTTCTGTCTATCTGTCGTGTCGTCTTGCTGATCGGTCTGGTTGACCACTGGGAGTCCAGTGACTGGGTCGACGACCAGACCCTGGGCATTTCTTGTTGGATCGGCACCTCCCCCTGCAAGGTCGGTGGATCCTCCGGTGAGATCGGTGGCTCCTGTGGTAAGGTTGGTGGTATCAGGGTTGATCGGTGTTCCAACCATCTTCAAGCTTTGTTCTTTTTCAGAGATTGTTCTCTTATTCCCCACAGACGGCGCCAACTGTGAAAACTCATGTTCGATCTATAAAAGAACTAGGGCTTATGGGTTTAAAGAGAGATCTTCTTATTAGAATGAGCTGGAGCTTGATAGAATACATGGTGGTTTAGGTCGTCGGAATAAGAACGCCGGCCTAAACTCTAAAGAAAGTAAATCGAGAGCTAAAACAATAAGATTGCTTAGTTTGCCTTAGGTCTCGAGAGAGGATTTTCGGATGATCTCAAAAGTCAATGGACTTCCTATATTTATAGTTGATCAGGTCGGTCTTCAATGTATATCTAGAATAGGAAAGTCTTCTTACCGATAAGACTGAACTTCCTTTTTTCCCAGGTTCTCTAAATAAATGGAAGATTTCCATTTATTTAGCCGACCTGAAACTTGTAAGATGGGCCAACCAGAATTCGTATCGGGCTTGTAGAGATGATATGAATCTCATCTCTAAATGACAAAAAAACAAAATATATATGACAACGTTTAAAAAGAAGAAAACATGAATAATTTAAGATACAAATTGAAAAACAAAAAAAAAACTAGGAAATGAAAATAAATTTGTTAAATTTTTCTTTTTATGATCGTAACAAATTTTCTTAAAAATGTCAAATTAATATTAAAACAAAAATCAAAATTCTCTAATAATATGGAACATAATTATATATTTAAAACATATAATTAGATTTTCAAATATCTTGCTTTCGTGAATTGGTTTGAAAAAAAATCCATAGTTAAATCTTCAAATGTTTTACTGTTTTGAAGCTGAAGCATACGCAGAAACCTAATCCACCCATAAGTACTTCTGGTCGCGGCAGTGAATTTTCCTCCTAGTGCGGCAAGAACATGTAGCTCCTTCATGTTCAAAATTTCAGCCCATTTTCTGTAAATTTTGAAATCGAAAAGACCAAAATGACCATGACCTTTGTAAGATATATTAAAGCTGGAGATTTTATGGGTTTGCAACAACCACCAGCCATCTGAATCATTCAATATCCAACAGTTTGAGATCATGCTAGCAACCGTTTTTCTCTTTGTGTGTTTCTAGTTATTAGCTATTTGTTCTTGCATCGTAAAAGGAGCAGATCTCTAAACTCTGAGCTTCGTAGATAATATTCGAAATCCTCTTACTTTTATTTATTTAAATTGCATACTTTTATGAATCTAATGATTTTTTGCATATCAAATTCTGAGTAGTTTACTTGTTCAGATTTTTGTTCAGATTTAAGGGTTTTTGAAAGGGTTCAATCATAGATATAAGTTGTCAGACTTAGGAAAATTATACAGTTCTTTGTTCAACTCTTGTTCTTTAATACATGTTACCTGACTGATCATTGATAGGGTTGGAACTGCTTATCTTAGAATATGGATGCTTTTTAGTGACTCTTCGAACTTTTATTTTGTGATGATCATTACCTGCAAATGATCAATTCTAAAACAAATATGCTTACGGTAATCAAAGACGGGATTTTTGTGTCACGGTTTCTGTTGCAAGTATAGAAAAAATATAAAAGGCAAAGCAAACACATAAATAGATTTGGCTTTCGCCTAAACTTATGTTAAATGGTAAAAGAAAATTAAACTTAAAGCAAAAAGTAACTTCAATGCGTAATGAAAATCAATGAAAGTAGTCGAAAGTGCGGAAGTAAAACTTAGTACTGTAAATCAATAAGGGAGAGGCATTGAGGATCTTTTCGGGAAACCTATGAGATTCTTATTAGAATTAAAACAAGTAAACGCAGGCAAACAAGACTATCCTAATTTCTTAGAATAGATCGTGTATATCATAAATACTGTGTAAGTATACGAAGAAAGACTTTTTGGTCTTTGGACGAATGTCCTCTTCCTCTAATTAGTTGTAGAATATAAATGAGGTATCAATCCACTTATGGTGAGTTAAGATGTAGTCAATGCAATAACCTAAGCCAAGATATGGTTTTAATGATCCAAGAACTAGTGTAACAACCTAACAATGCAAGAAATCAGAACAGGAAATGCAACTAAGCAAGATGGTGATTGGAAGTAAGCAAAATGATGACTAAGCAAAATAAACTAAGCAAGATGAATACTAGAAGTAAATAAGGCAAGACAACTAAGCAAAATACGAATTTAGACTACGAATAAAAGGCAAAACTGAAAAAACGGGTTTGGTCTACTATATCAAATGTCCTGCCTCTAATGAGTTGTAGAATAGGGATCAAGTATCAATCCATTTGTGGAAGATGAGTTGCAAACAATGCCATAAACTAAGCAATGATAGGGTTTTGATTGAACAAAGACAAGTCTAACAACCTAATAATGCAATGGAAAGAAAGCATAAACTAAATGCAAGTGAACAAAACTAAGTAATGAACTTAAGGCAATGACTAAACAAGAACTAAGCAAGAATGACTACTAAAGCAAGAACTAAGCAAGATGATCTTAAAGACAATTAATTAAAAGCAAGACTCAAGGTTCTAAGCAATTGTGGGATAGTGGTTTTCAAGAGTGAAAATGGGGGTTTCTAACAAAGGCAAACATCAAGCATTCAAAAGCAAGCAGTTCTCAATGTTGTACTCCTAGGCAAGGTATCTAAACGGAACCAACTTGGCGTCAATAAGCAGTTCATATTCAACAAGATTGAAGTGTCAGACCCACTTGTGATGGCGTATCCTTCAACCATGAGCATAAAGATCAGAACAATTATAGCCTAAGAGATGTAATAATCAAGCAATCATTCTCTCACCCAAGCAAGAATTCAGATCAACTTATCAATCTTGTGAACCAATAAGGACCTAGCTAACTAAACACTAATCAAGAACATGGGGTTAAGCACACAGATGCAACATCCTAACAATGCTAAGCAATGAACATGTATGAAACAAAGGCAAGATCTTTTGATGCATACTATCTAACCATCAAGCAAGAATCTCAAAGCCAGCATTATCTAGCCCTAAGCGAATCATCTAGCAATGGTGAACTATCACTTTGGTGCCACTGAACAAAGGAAACATAGACCAAGCCAAACTATCAAGACAAATAAGCGAACCATACTTAGAGATGAGATAACAAGCCATTTAGTGAACCATATGCATCAATCAATATCATATTCAATCAAAAGGAGCAAGCTTTATGAACAATAACCACTTTGCAAGAGAAGGAGACAACAGAGAATAGTCAAATACGCCTAATCACCTCTTAATCACATCTTAATCACCACTTTCCCTACTTAGAACCCTAAATCTAAAGTAAACTACTCACTAATCATGTTTAATCCCATTGATTTGGAGTTAAACATAACTAGATGAGGTTAAAATGCAAATATCATAAATCTAAACTACCAAGGTGCAAGAACAAAGAGTAAGAGACAAGATTAAACCATAAAAATGCAAACTTTATTAAAGATTAAGATCCTTATGGCAAATCGCCCTTTAAGGTTTAGAGAAGAGAGAGTTTTTGATAGAAAGCTAAACTTGGATAAAGATAATGTTTTGTGGCTTCCTTTTTATAGTAGGGAGCCAAAAGAAGCATAAAAAAACCTAAAAAATTGGATAAGGTTAACAAAAGTCAAGTGGTCAACATGGATAACTTGCATTAAGGTCGTACGGACGATGTTCTGCTCGATATGCGACCTTGATATGATCCGTGCAGCACGCATCGGCTTTCTTCTTCGATGCTGGTCCTCGATGCAGACCAACGGCTTGGAATCCTTGTGCTGATCCTCTTCCTCTCGTCCTGTTGCTTGCATCGAGCATACTCCACATGTGTTCTGCTCGATATGCTTGCTCGATATGGACCAGACTTTGCAAGAGCTCCATTTCTGACATCTTCTTTAATAATGAGCTGCTTCCATCTCCTTCTCAACTCCAAGAAACTCCAAAAACACTTGAAAACCACCACAAGCATGCACATGTATGAAAATGTATGCAATCCTAAGCTAAATGCATGTCGTGTTGATTGTAAGTGCAAATGATACTAAAATGCTAAACTATAATGCAAAAACAGAGGAAAAGATGCATGAAATGCAGCCTAAAATGATCTAAAATAGCAAACTATCAAAGACTCAAGGTTCTAAGCAATAATGTTTAAGTGGTAAAAAGAGTGACTTAGTGGATTACTAAACAAGGCAATTAATCAAGCAATTCATAAGCAAGCATTTCTCAATACTGATCCTAGGCAAGATTTCTAAAGAGAATCAGCTCATGGTGTATAAGACAAATCCATTTCAACAAAACTAGTGTGTCAAACCCACTTTTGATAGTATATTCACAAGCCATGATCATGAAGCAAAGAACCCTCAACTGTCTAAAAGAAGAACCTATCAAGAACCTATTTTTCACAATGCAATGATTCAAGTCAACCTTTCAATCTTTTGGATTCTCTAGGGACCTATACAGCAATTCAACAATTCAAGAATATGATATCAAGCTCAAATGCAAAACCTAACAATGCTAAGCAATGAACCAGATTTCAAGCAAAATGATATTCTTTGATGCAAACTATCTACCCATCAAGAAAGACTCAAGAATCAAGCACTATCTAGCCCTAAGCGAATCATCTAGCAAGGTAAATTGTCAACTTTGGTGTCACAAGACAAAAGAACCATAAGCAATGCTAAACTATCAAGCCAAATAAGCAAACCATGCAAAGAAACAAGACATCGAGCTCTTAAGTGAATCATCAACATCAACAAATTCATATTCAATCAAAAGGAAGAATCTTTATAAGCATTAGCAACTTTACAAGGGAAGGAAGCAACATAGATTAAAATTAAACACCATAAACACCCTTAATCAACTCCTAAAAACAATTTTCCCTACTTGGAACCTCAAATCTAAGGTAAACTACTCACTTATCATGTTCAATCTCATTTGATTAGAGATAAACATGATTAGATGAGATTAAAATGCAAAAATAAGGAAACTAAGTTACCAAGATGCGAAATTGAAATGCAAACAAAAGATCTAAAACATAAATTGCAAGACTTAACTGAAAAGAAGAAAATTTTACAAAGTTTAGGCAAATCGCCCTTTTCAGTGAACTAAAGATAAGAACAAGCTTAGAACTCCCTAGACATCAAGGATAATGTTTTTGGTTTCCTTTTTATACCAAGGAACCAAAAGAAAAGACAAAAACCTAAAAATTAAAATAAGGTCAAAGAAAAAGGCTGCTCAACGCACGGATAAATCATATCAGGCTGTACGGATGGTGTTCAGCTCGATGCACTATCTTGGTGCAAATCCTCTGTCCTGCGGGTGATCTTCTCGGCTGTGTGCTTGTTCTGATGTGGAAATAGGCTGCATCGGCCAAGGTATCGGGTGTTCTGCTCAATGCTGGAACCCGATATGTCTTGCAACTCTGAATCGGCTTGTACGACCCTCCTTGCTCGACACGCCTCCCTGATGTGAGCCAACTCCTTCGAACCCACAACCAACTTTTTTTCTCCGTGTACTGCGGTCTGCATCGAGCACACTCCACATATGTTCTGCTCGATATTCCTCCTCGATATGGATGCAGACTTTGCAAGACTGAAGCAAGGGTTTTTTAGGCCCTTGTATACTTCAAAGTAATCATTTGTAGTATAGGGACTTAGGTGTCAAATACACTTGAGGATGTTGAGATACACACAATGATGTAGACTAAGCAAGGTTGGGGATTATGATTGTGAAATAGTAACTTTAACAACCTAACAATGCAGTAAAATAAAGCAGAATTGAAATGCAAGATGAATCTAAAGCAAGAACTAAACAAGGACTATATAAAAGAACAGCTTAAACAGTACTAAGCAAGATGAATACTGAATTTAAACTAGCAAATATGACTAGGCAAGATGATCTTATGACAATTAATAAAAAGAAAGACTCAAGGTTCTAAGCAATATGGGATTAGTGGCTTTCAAGAGTGACAAAGGGAATTTCTAGTAAAGGCAAACATCAAGCATTCATAAGCAAGCAATTCTCAATGTTGTACTCCTAGA